GGTCTTGAGTTATTATACAGATCATTTCATCGTCAATGTTATAATAGTCCTTGGCTAAATTGATAGTATTCATCAGCAAATATTCGGTAATGAACGGGTAAAAATAGTTTATGGCGAATTGGATGAACGTATAATCATGCTCCATTTTTATATTTTTAAACTATTTAAAATAATGCCGCTGGTTAATTCCTAAACAATTATCTTATATTTACATGCTCTTTCGAGAATTCATGTGATAATTTTTCCAATATTATTTTTAGATCGAGTAGTCTGTTTTGAGGGTTGTTTTGTTAATTCAATTTATGGTCGATAAATGCTTCTTCTTTATGCAATTTATTGATTCTGTCATCAATCTTCAACTCAGTGGCTATTTCTCTGGCTTCTCTATTGATGTCCTTTTTCTCAAATTTAAGGCGTGTTTAGTAAAATTTGGGACTTCTTTAGTAAATGCTGCGTAATACGCATCCACGTTGGTTCATAATTCTTACCTGTATTGTTGGCTTTAATAATTTTACAATTCATTGGGTCATTTTTTAATCCGCTCCTGACGATTGCATCTTGCATGAAACTCAGATTTTTGCTATCGCCGAGAAAAAAATATATATATTGATTATTAATATAAATATTAGTTTTATTATTGTACATTGAGCACTATTTTATTTTCACCTGTACTCAATATTTTATATTTTATATCTATATATAAAAAGTTGTTTAAAGACCAAAAATCTTCATTATTTATGAAATCTATTTAGTACTTTTGTTCTTAAATTTAATAACATGATGGTGGTTTGTTTGTTTTTATGGTTACAGTTTCTGGTACTCGTTTTTTTTTACAGTTTATGTGATATAATATCGTATTTTTTCTCATTGGTTGTAGATTTCTCGTGGTTTGATGTTTATGCGTAATTTAATTGAAATATTAACGTATAGATGGCAAGTTAACCGACGCGATAGCGGGTGCATAACCAATTTATGTGTTTTCTTTGAATTAGGTTTATAAGAGAAACATTCTTCAAGTGGGCAAATGAATACATGGACAGCATTGGTTTGTTGAATTTTGAAATTTTGTTGCATCGTCAGTGGTGATCATTTTGACAGATTTTACTTTTTATATAAATGATGAATTTAATGTCATCGTTTTTGTTGTTACTTGATACGTATAAATCCGTCGGTTTTCTTATAATTTTTTCCTTTAGTTTCTGGTTACTGTTTATTTGCTTTCTGTAGAATGGTGTTTGAGATCTTCAGGCGGTCTGGTCGCTTGAATATCGCGGTCACGTGAAATTTAAGTAGCGGTCCGACTTTGTCACTTTCTGAGGTACGCTGGGAAGCGTAATCTTTCTTTTTATTTAACCCAGGCATTTTTGCCATGTTTTGGCAGGTGTCGGTCTTTTTGTTCTTTTTTTTTTGATTATGCATCTTTTTTTTCAGTTTTCATTTACCGGTTTTTTTTTTTTTTGGTTTATTGTCTGTTGGGTTTTATGTTCATTAAGTTGTGCATCTGAAAGGCTTTCTGTTCATTGTGCCAGTATTACAAGCCTCAAAAATCATCAAAAAACAGAGAGAAGTCATTTATTGCACGTTATGCAGCCTTTATATAACAACTACTGCAAAAGACCCTTAAAGTTGCCGCAATTGCACAAAAACATGTAAGACCGTGGCAGGTCTAATAAAACAAGTCCTCGCTACCCATATTTGAGGATGGATCAGTCGATAGCCATGTCGAAATAGTCTCATACCCTATATATATATATATATATATATATATATATATATATATATATATATATATATTATTTCTCTCTGTATGTCCTTGCTTGAACCAGCTTCTAATGCTCTGGATTGAGCGGCTTGGGGTTAGTAGTCGTAGCTCGTAGAGGCACAGTCCTATGGGTAAAAGAGAAACCACGGAATTTGTGATCGAGTGGCGCTATATCGAGTCTAATTCGTTACTTTTTCGTCACCGAGGACCGTTGGTACAGTTGGTATGGCATTTGCCTCCTATCGTCACTTTTCAGATTTCAATTCTCGGTAGTGTATGCGCACTGCTGATGAGTCCCATATATAGGACGGAACGGCCGTCCAGTGCTTTCTGCATTCTGTTGAGGTTTCTTCTCGACTCGATGAATTATTTAATTATGTTTATTTCAAATCTTCCTAATTATTTCTCTCTCTCTCCCTCTCTCTCTCTCTCTCTATATATATATATATATATATTTGAGTATTTAGGCAGCAGTCCTTCTTTTATGCACATTTCATTGAATACGACAGAAAAGTTGCTTTGATTTATTTTTTTATATAATTTCTCATGCGATCTAATAATTTTTTTCTTTTCAGATGATAAATTATTTAAAAACTGCCCGAATGTTCTTTTTTTTTAACTTGCTCTTTCAGCTATACATTTAGCCATTTTCAAGGATGAAATATTTTAACTGTTAAATAAGAAATAGTTTGTCGCATGTATGTATTTATGTAATATTTTCATTTTTCCATGTTCATTTTTGAAATTAAGTGTTGTTTTTTTCATTTTTATTAATAAGTATGTACACACACACACACACACACACACACACACATATATATATATATATAATGACTTTTCTTTTAATTCTTTTTTGCAAATCTGAAGAAACAAGATTAATGCATAGGGGATTTTTTTGCTTTTGATTTTCCATATAGTTCAGAAGAGAAAAAGGCATTACTAGGCTCATCACAAGTGCGCTTCGTAGAGTGTCTATTTTTGTCAAGCCCGTGTCTTGACATGAGTAAAAGGATGCTGAAAGTAGATTTTGTATGAAACCATTTTAAACGCTAGGCATACCGACTCAATTCATATAAATCTCCCTATTAAAAGCCCTTTGTAGTGGTCAGTCGATTCTTAGATAAAACACAGCACCGGAAACACAAAGGAAAAATTTCTTTATAAAGATTTCCTTTTGGTTTCTTCCAACGACCTTTTAGCTGATATAACATGTAGGTTGTCTTTCACCAACACGCCCACTGTTAGTATTAGTTCGAGATAAGAATAATTCCGGCTTTCAAATTCGCTTATTTTTCATCTTGGTTTTATAGATTCTCGCCTTTGTTCATTTGTTATTCGAATTCTGGCCAGGGGCTTCCGGTTCTTTGCAGCCATTGAAATATAACGATCATTTATCAATGTTTATAAAAATCAATAATAGATTCTAAGTGAAGGAAAAACATCTTTTCTTCAGCTTTTCGTGACCTATCCAATATGACGAAACATCACCTTAATTTACAATCATTAGAATATAATCGGTTCTCAAAAAAATACCCAAATGTCTATAATAAAATTATCCTTAGCATATATTAAAAATTGGCGCTTTCTCGTTTAAAGGAATAATCGAAGAGACAGACTCACATATTGTTTTGATAATAATAATAATAATAACTAGATTTGACTCGTGAAAATTTCAAATTTTCTTATTTTAATATTCTGATGAGTCTTAATTCTTCAGCTAATGATTGAGTAAGCTGATGGCGTGTTCTACGACAATAAAATATCCATAGAAATTCCCTTATTGCTATTTGAGCTTAACAACTTTAACAAAATATGGCAATAACAATCATAAATATTAATGCTGGTCGTTATTTTAAGTGGAAAAGATTTGAAATTGACAACTTTCCATTTCACTGAAACAGCCGATAAATGTTGTCTTCTTTCTTCCGTTCATTTTACTCACCGAGGTATTAAGGACATAACGATCGTGCGAACTAATTAAGGTGTGTGTATGAGGGGAGCATAATAATAATAATAATAATAATAATAATAATAATAATAAACAAAATTATTGATGTAACCAAAGATTTTTCAACATTTAAGAGAAGAGCGCGATTCGACCATGTTAAAAATATTTTAACCGAATGTCTGTCTTCAAGTTATATTTAAAGAATTTTTTCAGGTATATAAAAAAAAAACAAATCTACAAAAAATTATAAGTTTTTGTAGAAACGTTGCTTGTCTTTTAATTTAAAAAAAAAAGATGAACTCGTCAAAACGAATGAAACGCCGCCAGGTTGAAGGCATGCAACTGAATCTAAGCTTGTTTGATTAATTCCTCTTAGTAACTAATCAACTAACGGAACATTCCAAGATTTATAAGATCACCATCATATTAAGCACGTTTCACTTGCATGTCTTCACACTGGCGGCGTTTAATTCGTTTTGTCGCGTTCATTACGAGTGCAGCCGTTTTTTCAATACAAGACAAGCAACTTTTCTACAAAGACTTATAATTTTTTGTTGATTTATATATTTTTATACTTGAAAAAGATTGTTTAAATGTAACTTGAAGAAGACAGACAATCTGTTGAAATATTGTTTAACATTGTTAAATACAATATTTTTTCTTTATCTTTTCTTAAATCGCACTATTCTCTTAATAATAATAATAATAATAATAATAATAATATATTACCTGTTGCTATTGATGCTTTACGCATGGTTTCGAAAGGGGCATACAAATTCCTAGAAGTCCTAAAATATATGAGAAACTATACTTATGCGTATTTATATCGTTACATAGATTTCAGTGAACACAATTATGTAATTTCCTGCTTGATTTCCTGGTTCCCTCTTCTGTTTGTGTATTTCATGACCCCCCCCTCCCCTCATCTGTTTGTGTATTCTGATAAAAACAAACTTGTTCCTTAAAGTCTCTATTTGGCACTTGGAGTGTGTAGTGTGTGTGTATGGTGGGGAGGCGGGGTTAATCCGTACTACAGAAAGCAAAAGCAAATGATAATAATAATAGCACTGCTGTTACACTAGCCATGGCTGTTAATTAATAGTGTGTGTTAACATATAGCATATCATCTCGATACTGACGCACTGTTTATCAGTTAATGAGCGAGAGTAGATGGGGAGTATTATGACGAGAAGCTTTTATTTTTAAGTTTGAAGACTGATGCAACCAATGTCTCTACTTGAGGATCATATCTGGAAACTTGAGAACATTTTCAATCGGAGTACAGATCACGTTGAAACACCGATTTCCGCACGATCCCTCCGAAGTTAAGCAATGTCGAGCCTGGTTAGTACCTAGATGGGTGACTGCTTGGGAACACCAGGTGCTGTAAACATGGATCTCCCAGTGGTATAATGGTACGGAATTGTGAATCAAAGAACCAGGTTTCAATTCCTATCTGGTTTGTTATATCCACTTACGCGCAGATGCCTTTTTCTGTTCCCCACCAGCTATGGGTTAATTAGAATGAGTTTTATCACTAAATTATTATTTTCTGGCTTTAAATTATCTGCCAAGGGTTGATAAGCCGTAGAAAACGAATAAGTCAATCGGAGTTCGAGTAAACAGGTCGGGATACCCAACCTGAACATATTTCAAACTGGGCCAGCCAATAAGGTTATGAAAACTTCTTTCGATATCGTGCAAACATGTATCTGACATGCCCTCATCATACTAAATGTCATAATTGGTATATTGAGCTTCCCATATTTCTCTCCCAGCGTTAATTTGCAACTCTCTCTCTCTCTCTTTCTCACTCACTCACTCACTCAGTAATAATAATAATAGTAATAGGGACACGAGGAATGGTTAAAAATAATAATGATACATGCATAAAATGTTTTGAATCAGTATCGCCCTATGTAAGGCCGTAAAGCCACTAAGACATAAGGGGTTACAGGGTGTGGAAGAATTAAGAAGAGAAACATTTATAATAAGCGGGAAAAAGAAAGACCAATCAGAAGGACTGTCAATCGCTATCTACTGTCCTGATTACATCCGTCCTGGGTATGACGATAAACTGCATCTAACAGAATGGCCTCTAATCAGGAGGTTTTTGCTGTTCCCAGGTCCACCATGACCTGGAGTTGGTAGCACTTGTTAGGGTCCTAGGTATGGTCAAATATTTGAGCCCCAAACTGGGTTCAAATCACGATGAAAGTGTAAAAATAAAATTATTACCAGCAATAAATTCTTGAAGAAAAATTTTCACCAGCAATACATTTTTGGAAAAAAAAATATTAGCAGTAATACATTTTTTGAAAAAAATATTACCAGAAATAAAAATCTTGTCGGCATTAAATAACCCATTGAGGTGGATATGCCATAAAACAAACCAAATCAAACCAAACCAATATATACTAAGATAGACAGATAGATAAAAAATATTACTAGCAATAAAAATCTTTTCGGCATTAAATAAATCATTGAGGTGGATAAGACGTAAAACCCCAAACGAAACGAAACGAAACCAAACCTGATTACATTTCAGGAATGTCATCACAATCTGAAATACTAAACTTTCTGCTCATGCGTACTATTTATATATTCAGAAAAAAGATTGTCGATATAATATGCTCAATTATTCTTTAAGAAAACTTGACAAACATGGATAAACGAGCCCATAATAAGATGGAGTGTTGAAAGGAAGGTTTTCCCCTTGACACCGATATTATTTTAACTACCTTCACTCCTCAGCAATGTTTATTGTTTTCAAAAGCGTTGATTAGAATTGGAATAAAACCTAAACATATGAGAGTGAATTTATACATGTAACGCTTCAGAACACATGACGTGCAAATAGTGATAGAGTAGAGAGTCGCTCGCAACGTTCTGTCGGAAAGGGGTTGTAGGGAAATATTTCATCGCCCACAAGGCTGCGTAGACGTTTTTGAACGCTTCCAAGACAGGCAAGTTATGGCAGGAACGTTACATTTTTGGTTTGATCTGGCTTTTGTAAATATTGGGTATAGTGGGGAGTGGGGTCAGATACTTAATGGAGCGCTGTAGTGAACCGGCCAGTGTTCCAGCATCTTTACCAATAGATCGTGTATATGAGTTCTACTTGAGGTCTGGATGAACTTGATTCTCAATAGACGTTCATCGTAAGGAACCTTTAAAAGAACACTTATCCATCATAATATGGGGTCTGCTCGGTGGTGGTGGAACGTTAATAGTTTGGTTTTGGGCGTATTGGATTTTACGAGCCAGTTCCTCCTTCCGCATTGAGCCTCTTGAGCTTAGTCAGAGGAAAGATGAGCTGCTAGCTTCTGGTCATTTTGGAGATGAACCTTTATACTGTTGTATCATCCGCATAGATATTCATTAATGATCGGATTATGTTCTTAGGCTGATCATTAATATAGAGTAGAAAGTGGGGTTAGGACCGAGGTAGTCCATGTATGCCTCTTTCATTATTTTATGGGTAACTAGGTTCTGACCTGGCATCTCGTCTACAGTTACTTTCATACAGACGTGATGTGGTTTCTCTCTGTCTTTTTGTTGAGGGGTCCACATTTTTTTTTATACAAATGGTCTCTACAGTGTATACTTATACTACTGTCAGTGAATATCCGAAGAACAGAGCAAGATCGAAGAGTTGAGTCCAGAGTGACAAAGTAAAAGATTGTAGGTAACCGGAAGAGTGGGGGTGAGGTAACAGCGTTGTAGGAGTCACAGTGAGCGAGCACGTAGACTCAGTAAGAAGTCATACAGCGATACTTCAATACCAAAGACTGTATATATATTTTGCTACTAACCCGTATTCCTGGAACTACTAACCTGCTTTACCAGTTTGTATTATTACGTTAATACATTATTTTTATATATTCATTCCTGGCGTTTGTTATTTATTGGTACCGGATTTCAACCCGGAATCCAGAACACTTTTCTACAAATATTTTCATGGCAATTGCTCTGACGAGCTATTTTCACTGGTGCCCCGCCTGTACGAATTTAAGCGTGCTACTAGGTTGGAATCTCGGTCCCACTCTTCCACCGTCGAAACAGTTAAATGTAACAGCTTCTTCTCTCGTACTTCCCGACAATGGAACGTCCTTCCTCTTACTTGCTTCCCTGATAACAAGGGAACAACATTTGAATAATCTTCAAATATTCAAATTTAATGTCAATTCACATCTGATGTCTTGATCCTGATCCCCGTCTTTCTCTATATCCTTTCCTCAAACTCCCCTCTGTACTCTTTACTTTTACTCTCACTCTCTGTACCCCTTGCGGGCTAGTGGCGCTCCCGTCGTGCGTGGGGTGAAATGCTTAAAAAAAAAAAGCTCCCGTCAATTACTTTGTATTATTAATCTTCTATTTTCACAGAACTAATTTACAGGATATCCCCACCCATCCAGCTTTAGTTTTCGGACAGATGTTTTTGTTATATATTTGTCTTACCTAAAAACAGCGACTTTTATGTCTGGCACAACGATTCCTGGCACAGTATATTTTCAATAGTTTCTATTATTCTTTGTTGTATGAGACCGACTATCTCTTCATCTAAAACAAGCGAAATCACAGGAACAATGTTTTTAATACGATTATTATTGTTGTTATAATGATGGCAGTGGTAATGCGAATGACGAATGGTTCCCCAGCATGACAAAGAAAACAGGATTTGTCGTTTCGCATTTGGCTAACACATCAGAGCGATGGGAGGTCGGCCATCCTCATCCCTCATCAGTGCATACAGGGCTTTATGAATGATATCGAAGATGAAGTTGTATATATTGGCACTTCTGAATAAAATTAGACCAAATTAAGCAGATGTTACCTTGGCGTTCATTTCTTCATTCATATTTTTTCTTTTTAACCAATAAACAAGGTCTTTCAATAGCCAGGGACTGAGGAAAACCTTAACTTGAGTAGCGCTGTCAGTGAATGTTTCCTTATAAGGAAGCGGCTTAGATTACGTTTAATATGTAATTAGTATACATCTGCTATATCTATGTTCTGAATGTTCTGATTTCAACATCTTGTTATAAATCCGTCGCACGAAGAACTATCCGAACTGCTAGGGAAAAAATGATTCATTTGCGAACAACATGAGAATAATGTAGAACATATATAGGAAGAAACCGCCTAAATTCTGATAGAAAATGAATTAAGTATATAAAAAAAACAAAAAAACCCCAAAAAAACGAAAAGGGCCGTACGACAAGGACGACTCTTCTCGCCGGATTTATTGCAATTTATACGGCGAGGGGATCCTAAAAGAACGAGAAATTTTACTAGGATTTCTTATTGCCGGACACAATTTTAACGTAACATACTCAAAGGATACTGTATTGATAGCAGAAAGTAAATTGCAGGAACTTGTGGCCAAAGGAAAACTAGACGAACAGACTATCAAATGTAAGAAGATTGAATGTAAAGTCGTTATCAAAAGGCAGAGCTCAAGGTGTGGACTACGAATTGGAGACGTAAGAATCCTGCAAGGAGAGAATTTTGGGAAGCGTTTAAATATAACAGAAATTCGAACACACTTTGGAATAGTAAACAATGCTTTCCAAAAACTAAACAAACCCCAGAGAAAAAAAAAATCGCTAGAAACAAAGAAAAATGTGTTGAACTATAATATCACTTCTAATCTTTGACCATGAGTGCTGGAAAATTTCCTCGTGGATGTAAAAGTAACTTGAGGTAACAGATGCGTGGCTTCATAGAATGATGCTGAGAATACCATGGACATAGCATGTGAAGACCAAGAAAGTTTTAATTAAAATTGTAACAACAAAGACATAGGCTTAGGATGAGAAAATAAAGCTTTGAGATTTCTAAGACATTTAAAGAGGAAAGAAGGTTTGGAAATTTTGACACCTACAGGACTTATTAATGGCAAAACAGAGGCAAACACCGAGTAATCTACCTAACGTGCTTGTGTAAATATATGGCAGAACATGGTCTGGGATGGCTAGTAAGGCTATGAACCTTTCTTAGGGCTACAAAGGCTAGGGGCTTGTGAAGAGCTAGACATGACGTATGAACAAAGAAGTATTTAAATCTGAGGTTAAGTGAGCCTATGACGATTTTGAGCTTGATACAGTTATCAAAAATAATAAATAAAATGAAATATCGGAGAAAGTCGGTAAATCAAGTTTTGTAGCGTTACCCAAAGCAACCAGAAACAAATGAATATGAATCAGCTTGATGAGACACATAACTAAAATAATAATTTTGTTAGTAAGAAATTAGATCGGAAATAGAGAATTAATAGCATAACTTTCTTTATTGCTTTGCTTGGGGTGAAATGATTAAAGAAAATTTAGTATATCCCAGTCTTTCTTCAAGAGGTAGGAACAAGAAATGCTATTTTTATGATCAGAA